GAGAAATGTCAAAACATCTCCGGACGGAGGAAATGTCGAATACAAGGTTATAAAATAAGTGTCTTAAGAAGGCGCTTGTGAGCTCAATTTTCACTTTTTACGGCAAAAAGAGCACATGCAAAACCTATCCTACGTGAAATATAAAGTGCCGATATGAAGTGATTGACTTCTATAAGAAGACCAGTGCAAGAATTAAAATGTGAAGTAATAAATCCTATACAAAATCACTTTCAGGTCATAGAACTCAATTGAGGCCACGTGCGTACCTAACCTACGTGAAGCTTAAAGCCTTCAAGGTAGAAACGTAATCGAGGTGTTGATACCGACAGAGTAACCGTCGAATGTATCAAAATAGAAATATGGCTTACAATTAAATCAGCTTAAATCCCGTTAATTGTGGTCTGTAATTCTGTAATATAAATCTGAATAATTAGTACACAATAAATCCAACACAATACAATCAATCTCACTTCTGACACCAAATACATGGCAGAGGAGTAAACTACTCAACTCTGCTGTGGCTCAAGTATGGTGTTGGAAATGACAAGTAATAAGTTAAACTTTATGTACACTTAAATACAATCTGAATTTTTGCCAATCTTCGTCAGAATTCGATCTGGTATCTTTTTTTTATGGATCTTGTTTTTCTTTCTTCCTAATTTACTTATCGAGTTATTCATCCATGGGTGGTCACGAGGCCGAATTGTAACTGTTTTATTGGGTATATTCTTTTTGGCTATCCTTACTAACTCTGATGTAAAGGAAATAGTTGAGGCGTCAATGTTTGATTCGTCTCTAATTGTCCCCCATGCAGTACTCCTAATGTCATGTGCGTCAATGTCTGTTCTAGAGTAGTCCCAAATAGTGCGTTTGAAAGAGATACGTTTTGGAGATTTGAAATTGAGTTGACAATACACAGGACAATGGTCACTACATAGATTCGCCAAACAGCCTGACTTTTCTACATATTGGACACAGTTGGAAAGAATGAGATCAATCGAGTTGGTGTTCTAATAAGAAGAGTAAGAGCATAGATTTGGATAGCATCATGTATAAAAGAATTAGTTTTAGTTAGAAAGTCAATGTTAAAATCGCCAAAGATAAAGATATTGTTAATATTAGAAGCAGCAGCCAAAGTAAGGGTTCGAAAATTGATTTGTTTGTTTCTGCAGTCGATTGTAGTGGTCGATAGAAGGTTCCAATCAAAAAATGCGTCTTGTTTATAATGGTTTCAATCCAAATGCATTCTGTGTTGCCAACCTCAAGATCAAATCTCCGTTTAAAGAAGGAATTGTTTCGAATATACAGAGCAGCCCACCATACCCGTCTTGTCTGTCCTTTGGTAGTGGTGCATGAAAGTTGGAGATAGCAAGGGTGTCGGGGGATATATTTGTGTCAAGCCATGACTCAGTTATAAGTATAAAATCAGAATTTTCGAAATATTCAGATGTTATCAGGTCTAAGTCAGTGCAATGTTTTTGGATTGTTTTTCGGAGACTCCTTACATTCAGATGCACAATTGATACAAGGTTTGGTGGTCCTGGATTTGGATGTATGTCACCGCATGATAAGAGTTTTAGTACATGATAATATGGTGCAAATGTAGCGAAGCGATATGAACATATTAACAAGATAACGTAACATTTATACACAGAAAAATGGTACTTATACTTGTGATGAGCAATAACAAATCACTAAGTGCGACACCAGGGAGCAAATTGTGAATTGGTATTGGAGATTACAACATAATCGTGTATAGTAGACTATTGATAACAGTTATCATATCAGATATATAGTAAACTATTGTGAATAATCTAATGTAAAATACTGGCTCCTATAGATAGACAGTTTTCATAATATCAAATATATAGTAGACTATTGTTAATAGTGTAATGTAAAAAACTGACTTCTAAAAATGAAAAAAGATTCGTTAAATCGCACAGCTTAAGAAAAGTGGTAAGTTTTACAAACCGATTCAAATCAGTAATTTTTTATACAAAAAAACCACGAGTCCGTGAACCACTGACTTGCTTTGAAATTATCGGAGCATAATGAAGGCATTGGATAATTTGAAACAATATCTTCACAAATGGCTTGGTGCCATGCCGTCTATGATTGGGACGAGGTCTATAATAATGCTGCTTGAGAAACTGTCCTGGACGTCGTTCATAATAACGGGACTTAATTATTAATTATAAGATCCTTGTAACTCGTTGAATGGCTTACAAGCTGGACGGCAAGCTAAGTTTATCAAAGGAAAATAAGAATTGTTTATTAAACAAACGTTCAGAACTCGTCTCAAAGTGTACACATGATTCCAGTGCATTTGGGAAGCAGGCTGAAAAAAAGTCATCTGTTTCAAGATCGCGTAGAGTGAAACTCTCTTAGGTTCTGTTTTAATATTCCTGAGTTTGCAAATACTTTAACTAATTTTGTGTTGGTTTTATGTTTACCACCTACGTACAAAAATGATTTTTTCATTTCCTAATTTTGTTAAAACTGTGAAGAAGTTCCAGATGTCAGATGTTATACTAACTATAAAATACCAGTTCTAATAATAATATTCATCATAAAATATCCATTTCCTTTCACTTTATTATTATTATTTTCTACATTAAATACATATGCCATAAATTACAGTAACACGTTGCTTTTCTGATAGAAAAATTGAATTTCGATCAACTGAAAGAAAGGGATTGACACGTCATGCTATTGGTCTTCAAACTGATAAAGTTCAATTTCAGCTATCTTAATCACTACAAGAAATGGAAATGGACAAGTTCTTATTAACATTAAATATTATGATGAGATAATATCTGATATTTAGACCATCGCCTTATCATTTGGTAGTTTTTGATCAATGATAGGGGAACTGTACCAATATGTATTTGAGATCTTTCAGCTGGGAAACAAACATTTAGACATCTATCCTTATCCTAGATTCTGAACTTAAGGGAAATTAAAAATTGAAATGTGTGAATGTGTCCTTTACCAAAACTTTATAATATTTATAACTAGGTTTTCACTGATATATTATGATTATCCTGTAATTTGTTCAAGCCCGGTGATAAAACCTTCTAAACCATTCTGTTTTTCTCGGCCATCCAGATAAAAAATGGCTCTTGGATGAATTCGAATCCCTTTATACATATTATCAAGCAATATTTTTGTCCCCATAGTACCCGCTTATTGTATTGGTCGATCGCCTGCATATTCGCGAACCAATATCGAGAAATACATTTATCTGCCGGAGAAGATCGCCCCAGTCCACCGAGGTTCGGTCATGATCTCCCCTGGATTGAAACACTAAATATCGTAAGACCGATAGGACTGAATATTTATCATAATGCAGGCTTAGCACCTTTTGTTGTCGCGTTCAATACTAATGGCTATCGAGCAAGTTAGATAGTCCATGCCCCCAGTACGAGAGTCTGCAAGAGAAATGGTCTGTAAACAAACGATGATTGTCGCAAATTCAAACAGGAAAAACTTAAATGACAGCCTTGTTCATAGCAAACTAAAGCCCATTAGAATGTGATCTAATCTCTCGTTCGTTGGGCGAGTTAAAATTGTTACAATTTGCATTTTAGGAATCTACTCGCAATATCTGATAGAATAGCACTTTAAAAATTTCAAAATTCGAAAATTCGTAGCACTCTTTTTTTCGTACAATTTTTCATTTTTTTCAATTTTTTTATTTTTTTGTCTGTTTAATCTGGAACTTTGGGTATTTTTGCCTCTTTGAGCTTAGTATGTATATATCTTATGACCTAATTGATGTAGAACCTTGAAATTTGGAACGCAACTAGACATTTTATATATGAATTAACTATGACAAAAAAGTTGTGGGCGTTGCTTCTGACTTTGACATTTGAAGTCCGACACCCACTTCTGCTTTTATAACTGGCCGAAAACAGCACAATTCGCAACTTTGGACTGCTGTAGCACGTGACCTAATTAACCTAGAGGGTTAAGTTTTCAGATTCTTAATGTGATGTTGATGCTCTTTCCAGTGATATATAACAATTGTTTTTTAATGAAAATTGAAATTCGTGATTTTTGTTGTTGATTTGAGTGTTTTTTTTACAATATTTTTGCTTCTTTAAACTTGGTGTATGTATATCTTATGACCTATTTGATGTAGAAGCTTGAAATTTGGAATACTAGACATTTTAAATAGGAATTAATGTATGATAAAAACTTTGAGGTGGGCGTGCCTCATACGGGTTAAATTAAAGTCATTGACCTTGACGTATTTATCGTAGAATATTGAGTCTTTTGCAATTTGCTACATTTGCAAAGTCCCACTCTGTACCACGTGTGGCTCTAGTTGTCTTTAATTTCATAACCGAACAGAAGTAAAATAACCAACAGTTCCATACCATTTTCATTATGAAGTACTTGTTTCATCCTAGGCCGGCACATTTGGGAGAATCAGTCTATTTTTTTTTTCACCGCAAAAACTTATTTACTCTTTTCTGATTTGCTTCTTTAAACTTGGTGTATGTATATCTTATGACCTATTTGATGTAGAAGCTTGAAATTTGGAATACTAGACATTTTAAATAGGAATTAATGTATGATAAAAACTTTGAGGTGGGCGTGCCACATCCGGGTTAAATTAAAGTCATTGACCTTGACGTATTTATCGTAGAATATTGAGTCTTTTGCAATTTGCTACATTTGCAAAGTCCCACTCTGTACCACGTGTGGGTGGCTCTAGTTGTCTTTAATTTCATAACCGAACAGAAGTAAAATAACCAACAGTTCCATACCATTTTCATTATGAAGTACTTGTTTCATCCTAGGCCGGCACATTTGGGAGAATCAGTCTATTTTTTTTTTCACCGCAAAAACTTATTTACTCTTTTCTGATTTAAAATTTAATGTTAAAGTGGGAAGGAATAAATTTTAATAACTATTATACAGGTGCATCACTAAATAACTATAAATACTGTTACATTTCAATCCTGTGTCAATTCAATTGAAAACCTGACAAAATGGGTTCTTTCAAAGTTTATGTTTCGATGGTGTCGATGTTTGTGTTGATCGCTATGCTCAATAGTTCTAGCAGTTATAGATACAGCAGCCGATACAGCAGTCGATCAAGATACAATTATCAACCCTCACTTAGAAAATGTCTGAGTAATGACATTATTTCTACCTTACAAGGAACATTATGTCCAAAAGGTATGTATCTCTCTCATTGGTTTTCGGGGAAGGGAGGGTTTGATTCTCCCAAATGTAGAGGCCTTGGGTGAAGCAGACACAGAAAAAATAAGTATAGTATCTGTTATGTACTGATTGTTTTTAGTTTACTTTGAACAATATTATCATTTAAGTTCTTATTTTTTGAATATGCAACTATCATTTTCTGCCTATAGACATGGGGGAATTTCTCTTTAAGTGGGCATGAACTATCTTGATTGCTGGTTGTGTTGAACGGGACAACAAAGGTTGCTATGCCTACATTATGGTGAATATTTAGTCCTATAGGTCTTGCTGTCTCAATTCAATGGGCTTCCCTAGATTGACGGAATTTGGTAATTTCATCTTCGGGCAAATCAATTTCTATGCGCTCAATTTGGATTAGGGTAACATAATCTATTGAATGGTCGTCCAGGTTGAAATGATTCTTAGTTTCTCCTACATATTATTTTGGGCATTTCTTTCATGAAATTAAATATATTACATTCGAATGTTCACATGTTAGATGTTCCTGGATCGGGTACCTTTTATTCGTAGAGTTGCTTACAAAATAATGAGTTTCTGATATAAAGGGACATGTTTTGCATCTACTGGAAAACATGGAGCACTTCTTAAACCTGGAGGTGCTTCGGCATAATGCCTGTTTTTAGTTTCTCTCTGTGCTAAGGTGGAATTTTATTTGTTTCTTAAAAATCGTTTAGAGTACCCACGCTCTTTCAGTTTTGAGAAAACAATTGTACAGGCTTGGTTGGAATCTTGTGCCAATTCGATGAAATCGTAAAACTTGTGACTTAATTATATCAGAAAAGGTGTGTTTTGGATGAAAGGAGCTCTTGTGCAAGAGTTGATGAGTATCAGTTTCTTTGAAATACACTTTAATATCCAGTTTATTTGTTTCTGCTATGGAATCTCTATGGAAGACAGTGGTATCGAGAAAGTCTATGTTTTTGTCACTCACGGTTAGTTTGATGGTGGTTGTTGAGAATTTCAAAGAATTCCCAAAACTGTTCGATAGAATAAAAATTTCATCCAAAAAGCGTCCATAAAAAGTGGGTCAAATGGACAGAGGGGCAACATGCTCCCACCATGAAAAGGTTTGCGTACGAAGGGGCGAATCGTTTGCCCATAGCTGTCCCTGAAGTTTGTAAATATGTTTTACCATTAAATGTGAAATCTTTTCGCTTTCTAGAACTATCAATAGACGTAAATTGTCGAGAATGTATGTATCTTTATTTGTATCCACTATATGTATGATGTATGTTTTAAGTTGTAATGTTTCGCTGGTTTTATTTTAAGCGAATCCCTGTAAAAATGGTGGAACAGAACAGCCTAGTGGAAGATGTGTTTGTACAGATGAATATACTGGTCCTACTTGTGAAGGTCAGTACTATTGATAAATTATTTTATTTCTTCTCAAATAAAAACCTATATATCTCATGTGATACAAGGTAACAACGTCATAATCGAATTGTCCAAGCAATGTTTGAAACACTCTGATCTGACAAACATATATGACAACTACAGTTTCTTCAAAAAAACTTCATCCTTGTTGTTTTAGAAAAGGTGAATCCTTGTAAAAATGGTGGAATCGATCTGCCTAGTGTGGGATGTGTTTGTACATTTGATTTTACTGGTTCTACTTGTGAAGGTCAGTATAGATGATAATAAACAATTCACTGAAAATGATTATATCAATCTCAAGGGTTAAAGATTTTTATTTGGAACATGAACGAAATAATAATTAGATTTTAATTTGCTACATTCTGACACATATTTTGGGGCAAAAACCTATAGATTTTTAGATTTGTTATCATTTATAAATTTGAGCAAAAATGCTGACATAATGCTGAAAACTTAGGTATAATATAGTTCAATCTAATAACAATTTGACTCGGACTTTCCGTCCGCCACGGATATAAACCCCTTCCTCATTTCATTTAGTGCATATGTATATGCGGAGATGTCATAGTCGCAAGCATCTCAAAGTGCGCCTGAGAGTCAAAAACAATTTTGCAAATTAAAATTGATTTGGTACATTCTGACACATATTTTTAAATTTGTTAAAAATTGTGGAGTACAATTGCGCTGTCATTTACCGCCTGAATGGTTTTGTTAAATGAAAATATTTTCCTGGCATTTTATCATGTATAATTTAGAACAAATATGCTGACAAAATGCTGAAAACTTCTGGATACAAATGCATTTGAAGGCTCAATTGTCTACTGTGACCCGTGAACACTATTGTTGACAGTTCAACTAAATAATTCCAACTAACACTTACGAGCAATCGAAGGACAGACGCACAGGTGCAAATATACGCCCCATCCCCCTCATGTTATGAGATGTCATAGTCGCAAGCATCTCATAGTGCGTCTGAGAGTCAAAAACAATTTCGCAAAATTGAATTGACTTGGTACATTCTGACACATATTTTGGGGCAAAAACCTATAAACTCGTAATTTTAGATTTGTTACAAAAAGTGGAGTACCATTGAGTCCTGACTTATTTTGTTAAATGACAATATTTTCCTTGCATTTTTTCATTTATAATTTAGAGCAAAAATGCTGAAAACTTGGGTATAATATAGTTCAACCTAATAAAAATTTGACAAAACTTTTCGTTCCGTGTTTTCATTGGCTTTTATTGTTTACTCTACTTAAGTGGTTGAGTAAAAAATGAAACTACTAAAAATCCACAAGGAAAGTTTATGATTTTATTAGACTGACTGAGATTTGGAGCCCCAAGTTTTGTTTCTTCAATAAAGTTTTCAACCTTGTTGTTTTAGAAAGAGTGAATCCTTGTCAAAATAATGGAACACTACTGTCTGATGGATCATGTAATTGTACAGTGGATTTTACTGGTACTCTTTGTGAAGGTTAGTACAGTTGATAAAGTTACCTGTACAGAAATTTCTGAATTAAACTGTTGAAACATAATTAAATCAAAATCTAATGACGAACTAAAATAACATCCGAACTCTAAGAAATGCAATAATTTACAGGGATACCTAATTGTAAAATTTCTCTTTTTGGAAGATTGTAAAAGCGGAAGTAGAAGTCAGACATGAAAGATTTGAATCTGACACTTCATTATTATCAGAAATTGTGAGCTTGTTAAAACATTCCAAACAGTTATTATTAATCTGCAGCTTATTTACCAGAAAACCAGAAACATAACACAGAACATTTTCAACTGCAAGAGTTATAGGGATATCTTCTTCAATAGGAATATCTACGGCAAGCCTTGGTACTTTGGATGGCCTTTCTTCAACCTCCTCTTCAAGTTTCCGTTTGTTTTGTTTACTTTCCCTTGAAACAAACCTATTAAGAGACATCAACAAACTATCTTGATCATCTATGCAGTTGGCAGATATTGGGCTTAAAAACATTTAACAAGAAAGTGACCTATATGCATAGATAAATTCAATTGCTGAGGGGTTGAATCTATGCCCACCTTTTGCTCTAGTTTGTGAAAAGAAATTTTCTAAACAGTCTTGATTGATACGACCACTTAGTATGAATTTGTGCTTGAAGGCTCAAACCAAGTTTCGTCCAAATTCGTTAAGAAATGCGCCTTCTTGGGTGTTTATTAAAAATTGAACGCGTTTTCAAGCACAAGAGCAATAATTCATAGAAAATATATTTCGATTTTTTTCGATAAGGTTCATCCTTGGGTGATTACAAACAAGATTTGTCAAAACCTGTCAAAAATGTACCTTCTAGAGTATTTACAAGCAATCGACGCACAGTCGCAAATACGCGCCCAAATCCCTGGTGTCATTTGGGAGTATAACATGTAGAAATATCATAGTCGCAAGCATCTCATAGTGCGTCTGAGAGTCAAAAACAATTGCGCAAAATTGAATTGATTTGGTGTATTCTGACACATATTTTGGGGCAAAAACCTATAAAAGTCAAAATTTTAGATTTGTTAAAAAAATGTGGAGTACAATTGCGCTGCCATTGAGTCCTGCATTGTTTTGTTAAATGACAATATTTTTCTGGCATTTTATCATTTACAAATTAAAGCAAAAATGCTGACATAATGCTGAAAATGTGGGTATAATATAGTTCAATTTAATAAAAATTTGACAAAACTCTCTTTCCGTATTTTTATTGGCTTGTTTGTTTTTCTACTGAAGTGGTTGAGTAAAAATAAAACTGTTAAAAATCCGCAACGAAAGTTTCTAATTTTATTAGAATTAATAAAAATTTAATAAAAATTGAGACTGGGAGCCCCAAGTTTTGTTTCTTCAATAAAAGTTTCAACCTTGTTGTTTTAGATATAGTGAATCCTTGTCAAAATGGTGGAACAGAACGGCTTAATGGAACATGTGATTGTACACAGTTTTATGCTGGTGATTTTTGTGGTCAGTATAATTGATAAAGTTCCCTTTACAGAAATTTCCAAATTAAACTGTTGAAACATAACTAATTCAAATTGAATGACGTACTAAAATAAGATCCAGATTTTAAGAAATATAATCATCTGCAGGGATACCTAATTGTTAAAATCTATTTTAGAGACTGACCAACGAATTGAATGGAACACTAATATCATCTTAGGTTACGTTTTCGAGAATAAGGCCGCTGTATTGAATATATTGTTCTGCGATTTACAATCAATTGGAATCTGTCATAGTAATATTATTCGTTCAATTAATTTGCTTTTCCAGCTGTTTTTCTCGAGAGGGCCTACGTAAAAATAAAGTTTAAGTAATTTATGATATTTATATTTATGATTGATTCATTCATTTTATTCAAGCAGAACAAATCAATTGTTATAGCTTAACAGCTTACAAAAAAGAGCAAACAAATAAAATACACCCCTGCACATCAACCTAACCGTCACCGAGAAAGTTGTGTACTGTCCTTTTACTTTTAAGTCATTTGAAACTTGAAGGTCGAATATACTTAATTGTAGTTAATTGTATTTGAAATTTCAATGAACACTCCCAGACCATATCCGGATGGCTTTAGCGGAAACTAGCTGAGACACCGGATGACAGTGACTAACTATGACGTTATGATAAAATACGCATGCCGTAATAGTCTAAGTTATCATTACAATAACATGCAAACAATTTTTATACGCCCACGTGAAATGGGGGCGTATATTGCCGTCACCCATGTCCGTCCGTCTGTCCGTCCACAATTACTCGTAAACACCCAACAAGACACAATTCTTGACGGATTTTGACAAAACTTGGTGTGAGTGTTCGTAATCACCCAAGGACAAACCCTATTGAAAATCAGAAGAATCGAAAAATATTTAGTATAAGTTATTGCCTTGTTCTTGAAAACGCGTTCAAGTTTTAGTTCGTAAACACTCTAGAAGGCACAATTTTTGATGGATTTTGATGAAACTTGGCATGAGTGTTAGTTATCACCCAAGAATAAATCCTATTGAAAATCAGAAAAAAAAGAAAAAAATTAGTATGAGTCATTGCCCTTGTTCTTGAAAACGCGTTCAATTTTTTGCTCATAGACATTCTATCTAGAAGGCACAATTCTTGACGAATTTTGGCGAAACTTGGTGTGAGTATTCGTTATCACCCAAGTGTGAACCCTATCGAAAATCAGAAAAAATATTTAGTATCTGTTATTGCGCATGTTCTTGAGAGCGTGTTCAATTTTTAACTCGTAAACACTCTAGAAGGTCCAATTCTTAACAGATTTTGACAAAACTTGGTGAAATTGTTTATTATCACCCATGGATGAACCCTGTCGAAAATCAAAAAAATCGAAAAATGTTTTATAGGAATTCTTGAAAGCGCTTTCAAATTTTAGCTCTTAAACACTTAAAGGCATGATTCTTGCCGGATTTTGACTAAACGTGGTTTTACTATTCAGTACCGCACAGAAGGTTGAATATTTGCCTAAAATTGAACACGTTTTCAAGAACAAGGGCAATAACGCATACTCAATATTATTCAGTATCGCCCTAAAGAGATCAAAAGAAGTGTATGATTGAAAGTTGAATATTTCATACTGGTGATTGTTACTGTACTGCTAAATATTTTTAATCAAAATCAAAGTGGGCGTATATTATCTTAACTGGCAAGCTATCTTTATTATAAGAAACCTTGTAAATAATATTATCAATCTCGCAAAGTTTAAAATTTGGAAGAAGTATAAACATGAAACGAAATAACAATTAGACTTTAATTGACTGCAAGACCCGCTAATAATTATAGTCAAGATAATATTTTTTGAATTTTTAATCCGTTTTAGGTGCAATGGCTGGCGTGGAAAAAAATTGTTTGGATTGTATATAAGTGGTTCTAAAGCTGTACACGGTCATGTAATCCAAGCAAAATTTCACTTATTGCACATTGCTTTGTCGTGTTCATCTTTATTAGCTCATTCAGTATTTAAAATACCCCACGTATGAATTACCTTCAATATTACTCCCTATATTTTAGAGTTACAACGATGTGAACTATTTGACTTCCAATACTGTACAAATAACTGTTTGAGTGGCCTCATTTTCCAAGGTCTTTTTTGTGATGGAGATGCTATATGTTGTTTCTAGCCTTGTAAGTATACATTTTAATTCTAAGATGACTAGTAACAGAATTATTTTTCGGGGAAGGGAGGGTTGGATTCTCACATATGGACAGGGCTGGGGTGGAACATATACTTCATTCAGAAATTGGAACAAGCGATCTTGAACTACTTGGTATTTTTTTCTGTTCTGATCTGAAATTAGATAAAAAAAAAAACTAACCCAAGTGTATAATATATTCATCAGTTGGACTTACCAGGTGCTATGACTAAAGAATATAATCTCTATATTAAACGAATTAAAATTACTTAGTGTGATCAGTTATTACTTTTTTTTTTATTCATTTGATTATAGAGGTATTCTTTTGTATATGTATCACACCAGGTAAGTCCATAGATGAACAAAGGTTCATGGACTATCAATCTTAAGTCGCGAATAGTACGTTGTACGGTGTGGAATAATCGATACAGAAGAAAATAGAAGAAATGCACACACGAGATAAGGGGCAAACACGGTGCGAGCATGATTCGCTTCTACTATTTTCTACTGTATCGATAATCTCACACCATTACACTGCACCTCGTTTTTTCCCACTTATAGGACGGATTCAAATTACCCCAATGCTCACTTTGAAAAGATAAGAAGAAATTGTACCAGTTCAAACTTCGTACCCAGTTGAAATAAATCAAAAATATGATTAATTGATGCCTGCTTAACTTCCTTTATTGTTCACTGTATGTTTTTCTTTCTTTATTTGAAATAGAAATTATAAAATGTTTTTTATTTTTGTAAAAGAATCTACGATGTCGGATGGAAGAAAACGAAAACTAAACCAATGAAGTTAATGATTGAAATAAAATAGATAAAAAAAAAACCGTTGTTGATATTATATGATATCATATATAATGATAAAAATAAATTTCTATACCCCATTATATCTCTACATTTCACTACATTTCTCATTATGCTCCACATGCGCTTCAACTACAACATCCATAGGCAAGATATCAGACAATGTTTTACTTATCGTCAACCAAACTCACGTCGCTTACCCTAGAACTATGGAGGGGGTTCGTTGCCAAAAGTATTTACGAAGTAGAAATGGAAAACATTTACAAATTCATATTTCCACCTTACACATACTACAAAATACAACTTTCCAAAAATCAGAATGTCATCATTTCATCATTTCCTCTAGTTTTCAAACCTATATTTCACAACAATCTAAAAGTCAACATTTTAAAAAATTTCTGTCGAAATTGATTTCTGCATTTTTCATTATAAACATTATCAACTATGTCTTCTTGACTTTGTATTCATGACATTTGTAAAGTCGACTTTATTGAACGTTTACCATATAAGGTAACTTGACCTACTTCATTGGCATAATACGGAAATTCACGGAAACTAACCGAAATGTAAACCAAGAATTGCTCCCCGAACTTCCAAGGGACTTAACTCTAAGCCGGATGTTTACCTGCGGCGTTGGTCTACTTTCAATTTAATAATCTAATAGCAAACAATAATAGCAAATAATCAGTTACTTATTATTTGTTTGGTTGGATCATTTTTTTATGTGCGTGGCCATTATTATGGTTGACCCTGCCTTGGTTACCGAAATAAAGTCCCGAATTTCAGAAAACGTTCAATCTATAGAAGATTTGGCATTTGAGATAGAGTCCATTGGTGGCATCATATCACTATAAGACTTACTATGTGGATTTTTCAACGAAAATGGCGATGACGTCACACTCCATGATCTTCGGAATTCATTGGAATTAATACAACAATCTGCTGAGATAATAGGAAAAATGTGCTCTAAAGACTAAGAGGATGGTTTTGGATTAGGACATATGCCCATTCAATATGGCGCTGTATTTGGTTCAATAGGATCCAGATCTGATTGTATAAATTCTTAAAATCGCATGGTCATTTCTTAGGTAGAAAAATGACTAATCTTATAAAATTAAAGTATTTTTACGTGTTTTATATGAAGAAAATGTCACGTGATCTAATTTAATTTCCGTAATATTCAAGGTTACGATTCAGCTAACACGATCCAATGAAGAAAGTCGAAAGATTACGATTCAGCGAATACGATCCAGTGGAGAAGTTCTAAAGATCACGATTCAGCGAACACGATCCAGTGGTGAAGTTCCAAAGGTTAAATTCGCGTTCTGCGTTCTACAAAGTCTACGGTTAGAATTAGGTTCTAGAAGACTCAAACTGAAAAAATTAAATAAGATAGGAGATAAAACACGTAAAAATACTATTTTATAAGATTAGTCATTTCTACCTAGGAAATGACCACGCGGTTTTAAGATTTGAAACAATCAGATCTGGATCCTATTTTGAACCAAATACAGCGCCATAATTCAAGGACATACTGGGAGAACAGACCTATTCATCCCATGCGAGCAATTGGAATTTTTTAGTAGCAAATGGGTTTTCTTTAAAAAAACCATGGCAGGTTTATTCTCTTTAGTAAACGGACAGTTTATCGGTAGTTAAGTGAATTTTGTCTGTCTACGAGTGACCGCTTTAGTGACATGAACAATGCTGCTTTGGATGAAACTGTTAGTGAGATTCTAACCAGATTTCCAAACATTGGGTATAGGTCAGTTAAAGGACACTTAGCAAGTAAGGGTCATGTCGTTCAAGAGAGTCGAGTGCGGAAATAAATGAGGCGTATTGATGTTGAAAGGGTGCTGTTTCGAAGGTTATTTCTAAAGCCTGTCCATAGAAGAAAATATCCAGTACGTGCACCAAATTCATTATGGCACACAGATGGCTACCATAAAAGATGATATTTCTTACATATTTCACTATTCTAAGTAGTAGTCCCAACTTCTTGTTTATATCCAGCGCAACCAGTC